AAATGACAAATATTTTGGAAGAAACTCTTCACAACCAGATGGATTGTTTGTCAGTTTGTTTACATAAACATAAAGCAGTACCTTCTGTATAAATTACCAAAATACCATTCTGAAATACCAAATTTACAGAAACTTCTAATGGATAAATTATGTGTTAAAAAAAACCTCAGAATTATAATTTTCTTTCAATGAAACTTTCATAAAATGTACACATACATTCAAAATGTGGCAAGTCTTTTGACAGTCTAAATATTACATAACTGCAGAAACTGAGCCTTATGAAATTATACCATACAGATAAAACTAGTATAGGAATTCATATTAACCCTTCCCTCTCTAGCCAACATTATCTTTGTTTATACACACCCATTATTTAATTAAAAATAGAAAAAAATTTCTGATACTATAAAACTGATTTTATAACCAAATATATACTTTTGTGAACACCAAACACAAAGCTTGCTGATATGCAATTCTTTCTCTATATACAATAATCCAAATATATATTCGAGGTCAATCCAAAAAAGTAAGTAATCTTGTAAGAATTAATTATTTCTTTCCTTATTTCTTTCTTAACCATTCTTAAGTGATTCCTGTTACTTGCAAAGAAAAGCATGTTAGTAGTTTTAGCCTTGGTGTGACCATCAATTCATGATCTCCCACTGAGTAAAATTAAATATAAAACACTGAAAATAGTTATTGTTTCTTCTACGAAAAGAAAAAGCATAAAAGTTTAAAAAAGGAAGATTCAAAGCTAAAGGGAGGAAAAATATATCAGAATACATTAAGTAGGAAAAAGGGAAAACAAAAAGGAAAGTAAGTATTCTGTACAGAAATGAAACCCCAGATCTTAGCAATTAATTGTAAGAAGAATCATATCCAAAAAGCCAACTAAAGAGTTTAGAATATAAAAGGACAAAATATCCAGGAACATCAGATTTTTTAAAGGACAAAGAAAGTGAAAAGCAAAAATAGTAATTTTTGATTGCCTTTTATATCATTCAGAATATAATTATATTTCTACTCCTAAAGTAAAATATTAATGCAGTTGATCACAATGCAAAGAAAAATGGGCTTTGCATCTCAAAACTGATATTTGAGTTAAAAAATGAAATAAACCTAAATACTCCCCACATACCTGAGCTACAAGACAGCAGTCAGTTAATGGCCAGCAACGAGACAGAATAGACTCACTTCATATAAGCAATCATTGTCAAACAGAAGATTCAAGAGCAAGTGGGCACTTGTGTTTTGACCAAGGGCAGGTGGTCAAAGATGGAGTTTTCTTGGGTTCATTCTCTGAGTCTCAGAGACTGTGACATTCCCTTAGTCAACGGGCAAGTACATGTCAGGCCATGAGCCAACATAAGGAAAAGAGGAAGACTAGAAACTAATTTAAAATACTGCGCTTTCCCTTATATATACATCCCTGCAATAAAGGATTATTTTCTCCACATAAGGAATCCTGTAAATGGTATTTTCAATTCTAATCAGTCAATGAAGGGGGACCCAGTTTACTTCACAAAGTTTGCTACCTGGTTTAAAAAATACTGTACCTGCATTTGAAAATTGGTTTCTTATAAACGAAGGTAAAATAATAGTACCACTACTCAACTTTAATGATGTGGGTTAAGTAAGTCTTAAGTTCACGTGCAAAGTAAGTCCTTGTGTATGGAAGAATCTATTGGGAATTATCATCAGTTAAAATCTTAGAATACAGTTCACTTCTTAATCAGACTTCTTACACATAAATCTAGTTGATGAGCCAATACTAACAGTTCATTTACTAAAGTGACCAAAGTTCAAGACTAGAAAAAGTCAGCAATTGGGGGCAATTCAAATTTTAAAATCAATTGTAAAATACAGATTGTGACTTTTATGATCTCCTAAGCATCTGTATTATGTGCACTGAAATATGCAGTTCAAAACAAGGGAAGGAAGGGAAAAAAAGGGAGGGAGGGAGGGAGGGAGGGAGGAAGGAAGGAAGGAAGGAAGGAGACATAATGCCATCTTAATTTTTTCCACAAAAATAATGAATATAAAAATATCTCTCAGAGCTAAAAATATTGGAATGCCATTCTGAAAACAAAGAAAACAGGAAGTAATACAAAAATTATCAAAGACATAGTAAAGTAGCAGCTGCCAGAGAAAAAAATATTTTTACTGAAAAAATCTTCATTGTTCCAGTGCAACCACTATGCCTATAATCCTAGCTATTCAGGTAGAAATAGGGAGAACTGTGGTTCGAGGCCAGCTGAGACCAAAAGTTCCCAAGACTCTCATCTCAGCAACAACAACAACAACAAAAAAAATCTGGGTGTGGCACCCAGCTTCACAGGAGGCATAAATAGGAGGATTGCAGTCTAGGCTGGCCCAGGCATAAATGTGAGAACTCATTCAAAAAATAATGGAAGCAAAAACAGCTGGGGATGTGGCTTAAGTGATAGAGCACATGCCTAGCAAGAACAAGATTTTGAGCTCAAATCTAAGACCATGAAAAAAAAAGAAAAAGAAATATCATGAGATATAGTTTTTGCAAGAAACACTAATATTACCTGTATCATATTATGCAAAACACTAATTCCTAATTTGAAATATTCCTTGGTATTCCTCATTTTTTAGAAATTAAGTTGATCAGATATTTTTGACATGGATAATTCTATACTACTGATTTCTTTCTCTAAGATGTGGTTCCCAAGCAGGTAACAGAATCATCTGGAGATCATCTTGAAAACACATATACCCAAGTGCCATCCCTGAGAGAGTGACTCAGAAAGCCAAGAGCAAAGACACAGTACTGTATTCTGAAAACATCCCCCAGTGATTCTGACTGCTAGGTGACGACCACTGCTGTAAACATGAATCCCATACTTGTTCTCCTAAGTAGAAAGGCTCTCATGGGAAGTGCTGAAATCTTGTCATTGCAGAGCACACAGCTGTCAGGAGCAAAAAGCAAACACTCACTTCATTACTTATGGTAAAGAACATGTTAAAAGGATTTAGTAAAAGGATTTTGTCTATTCAAAAAACATGCAACCATACTTCAAAACACTTTATATATTTATTTTAAAGTGTAACATTGAGGACAAATGGTTTTGAAAACGTATAAAAATAATTTATGTATTAATACAACTTCAATATTTACATGGTCCCTTAGAAGATTTTCATTTTATTATCATCAAAAACGTATTTCAACCATACCCATAGTACTCTCAAAAGTCAAGAATTTCAAGATTTTCTAATAGAAAAGTTTAGTAGTTGCCTGTAGTTGTAAAATAATAAAACTGGGAATGATGGCAATAATATTTTAAAAAATAATCATGTCTCAGCTATGCTATGCCATATATCCTAAGAATCTTTATACTATAATAATTCCAAGTAGTTACATTTTTAAGAAAAAAAGCACAAAAATATTTCAGAGAAGAAAATATTTCATCGTAAAAACTTATAAAGTTGAATGCCAAACAGAAATATCTGAGGTACAACTTCACAATATCAAGTTTCCATATGCATTCTGTAAACATATACTCATTATGGGCTATCAATTCAAATAAAGCCAGTTTTCATTACAAGAAGACAGATTTAAAAAAAAAAGAATTTCAGTGCAAAAATCCCTATCAGTTTATCAACTAACTTAATTTTAATTTTAAAAAATCACAATTTGAATCCCATAATACGCAGTGATCCTACAAAGACCTTAAATTAATTTGAAAGAAAAAGCTCTACAACAGCAACCAAGTTTTCCTTTTGTTACTATTCTCTAGTAAATGCTTTCTTTTGATTAGCTTTTACAATGTCATCAGGAGATGCTGATTTGAAGTCAAATGGTGTTATTGCTATAAGAGGACTTATTTCTTTGTCCTTTACATCTTGAACTTGTCTACTATAAAGAAAAGTCTTATAGAGGTCAAGGGTCCGCCGCTTGCAGCTTTTCAGTGGGTAACGAAGACACAGTGTTGAAGCAAAAGCTGAAGGTCTAGCAGCAAGGGCCTTGGTCCATGACAGAGAAAAAGGTGGCCTCCTAGTCAGAGAGCCTTTATTGTTTTTCTTACTGTCCTTAGCAGAACTGAAATTCCTCCCTAACTTTGAACTTAGAACTTTAGTTCCAGGTGTTGGAGTAACTGATTGGTCAACTATAGGCTTTGGAACAACATCTGGAGTTTTTATCAAGACACTAAGGTCAATATTTGAATCTATTCCAGGAGACCTCATTTCTAATGATCTGAGCTCAAAGGAATCTTTCTTATTCTGAGCGTTATCTACATCAATCGTTTCTGCAATCAAATCAGAAAGTGACAAATTCTCAAGGTCTCTTGTGGGAGAAGCTTTACAAAATGCCAAAGATGATAGGGATCCTGTTAAGTCTGATATTTCAGTAGAAGACTGACAGCGATTTGCTAGTTGCGACAGGGGAAAGGATCCCAAACTTAGACCTGTGAAACTGGCAGTCGACTGATTACAAAGATCAGACAAAGCAAAGCACTGACTTGGATCGTTTCCTTTTTGTTCCTGAAACAGCCCAGTTAAGGATGGACTTTCACACTGGGAAAACTGCAAACTGTCATCTTTTAAAATGCAATTCTTTTGTTCAACTAAGGAAGCATTTCCAATTTCGTTTTTTTTATGAGCATTTAAATAATCAAGAGTCGTATTTTCCAATGAGCTAGTTAAGTGCAAAGGATTATTTAAACTTCCCAAACTGTTTTGTACTGGGATTCTTTGGAAATCAGGTAGTGAACTGTTCTGAATAAATAAAGAATTATTAGCTGTTGTGCTCTCTCTCATTAAGGACTTTAAATCTGGTATTCCTTTAAAAGCAAAATCATCTTTGGAAACACATTCAGATGTACAAGGTCTTAATAAATCAACATCTACATTTTTTGAAGGAAGACTTTCCAGACAATCTGTGGATGATAGTCTGTCTGATGGCTGATTGTTAGGGGAGTCTGTGGGCATATCATGAATTAGGTCAGCTAGTGAAAGCTCTTTTGTTAACTTACATGATTCTAGTTTCTTTTCACTTTTAGGTCTGTCAAGTTTCTTTTTCCTATGAAGTAAATAGTGACTTGGCACAACTGAAGCATACTTTGGTATTGAGCTAGAAAAATCAAAGGATTTGCTACTGCAATCCAAATGATTTTCTGACTGGGGATAAGAACTTTGAACATTATCAGCTGAAACTTCAGAGGATGAAAATAAGACTCCTTACCTTACAAAAGCCATTAATTTTCAGGTGAATGGGTTGACATTTGCAGAAGACAGTCACAGCAACCAAAAGGAAACATGAAATGAGGCATTTAATTACTAAATGGTTTTGATTATGACACGAATAAAGCAGTATTTGATCATTATTTCGCACTAACTGAACATGGTTAAAAAAAAAAACAGTAATAAAGGAACATTACCTTCCTTTAACAATCTAAAGTGACCTTTATAATTTGTTCACTGATATATACCAACATAAGTACCAAGTCAATGTGCTAATTTTCACAAATTTAACAATGTAAGGTTTGATCATAACTAAATTATAGTGATTACCTCAAATTTAAAACTTCTTTTTAAAATAGGGGAAAAATAGATTCCTTTCTTTTCTGTATTTTATATTAAAAAGAAACAAGCAGGCTGGAGATGCAACTCAGTGGTAGAGCACTTGCAAGCACCACTCTGTAGTTTCTACTGTGCTCTGGGACGCACTGTTAATACAGAGGACCTATTATAGATTTATTTCCGTGAGGGTCAGTTAAAAGTGCACATCTGTACACCTTCCCACAAAAAACATTCGTTTCATGGCAAGATTGTGTGCAATTGTGTTATAGTGAAAGGCTAGCCCAGAGATTATAAAACTATTTAATGAAGTTAACAAATTACCATGCTCCTAACAGACCTGTGCTCCCTTCTTATGTCAACTAATTCCAAATTTAATTCCAAATGCTACAAATTTAAAAATCAAAGATCTACTCTTGCTTTTCTTAAGCATTAATCAAGAAATAAAATGTATGAATACTACAATTACGATACTTAATGGTATCAAAATAAAATTATATTTATAGATGATACAAGCGTAGAATTTTTAAACATTAATGTGTACGGCTATTAATTTCTTTCTCTTACCTCATCTCATTGAAGTTAAAAAAAAAACAGTAATTAAAAAGTTCTCTAAGACACTAACAAGAAGGAAAAAAGTTTTCTTTTATTTCCCCCATATTCTGTTAGCTATATCAACAAATAGTGAAACATTTTTTTTAAAAAAACAGGCTATAACAGAGGGAAGAACACTGAGGTTAAAAATTCACAAACTAGAAAGTCAACTGACAATCAAGAATTAATTCAACATGCAAGATTTTAATAGCCCAAATTAAATTTTTTCTTAACAGCTTAAGCAAATTAAAACCTCTCTTTGAACATGTAAAACAACTAAAGGAGAACAAGTAAAGGCATACCTTTTGCTATCCTTCCTGTGGATACTGCTCTCTCACTTTTGTCCTTCAACTTCTGAGTGTTATCTTGTTCCAGAAGCATTGACAAAGCCTTCTGTGCATCAAACTTGTTCTTGAGAATTGCTTCAGTCAGTGCTTCACCTGGCACAGCATCTCCCAGTACCTCTCTCATATGATCAAGGCATGAATGAAGACGAGCTGGGACACAGACAATGATTAAAAGCTAAACTACATGCTGCTATGAAAGAATCCTCCATCTTCAAAATTCATCAATGGATCTAAAACTGAACTCTTGTCCTTGGCAAGATGTATTTACAATTACCATATTTTATATACAATATAGCTACCTTCCTTTATCAGAGAAAACAATTTCATTGAGATCACTGTAATAAATGTCCCTGAATAACACTCAGGTGTGAAAAAAACTGCATACACTAACACCTATTTTTTGGCTGGGAACTGTGGCATAGGCCACAACTTAGTAAGACCCCATCTCAACAAACAAGCTGGATATGGTGGCATACAACTATAATCCCAGCTTAGGTAAGGTAAGAGGAAGGCAGGAAATGTAGGTAAGAGAATTAACATCCGAGGCCAACTTCAGGCAAAAATGTGAGCCCCTATCCAAAAAATATCTAAAACAAAGGGCTGAGGGTGTGGCTAAAGTGATAGAGTACCATCTTAGTAGTGTAAACCCTGAGTTCAAACCCCAGTACCACCACAAAAAAGAAAAAAAAAAAAAATCAGTATTTGATGTTTGGTTCATTTTTTAATTATTAAAAATAATTTCATAAAGTGGGCAATTCGGCTTTGTTTCAGAGGAAGATTTACTTTAAAAGGCTAAGAGGCAAGAATGGGAAATAACACCTATTTGATAGATACATGACTTATTGAAACTGGAACAGAATATTTATCATAGAACCTCTCCTAAGTAATTACGAGAACTATTTCCTACACATACATAAAAAGACAGTGGACCAAGGAGATAAAAATGGAGGTTATGGAGTTAGTTTGGCTTAGTTCACATTCTAATGCTACTTACTAGCTGGTGCAAGCTCAGGCAAATCCTTTTCTGCACCTCATTTTCCTCCCCATAACTACCCTACCTGGTAAGAATCTTGTGAAGATAAGTGTATTAATACGTGGCAGCACTTTAAAACAGACCATTTAGTAACGTGAGTCACAATTACTACTGTCATCCTGCAATTGCTTACATATGTCAACACAGAAAATTAACAAACACAACTGAATCTCATAATTCTTTAATCATTGTCTGAGGCACACAAAGCCGAAAAAGAGCAAGACTTGTACTCTATTCCTATCTTCTAATCCTACGATAGTAACTATAACACTTCCTTTAAAAAGGAATTAAATACTATTGAGGAATTCATACAACAGTGTCTCTACAAACTTTTATTCAGATTTTCAAATGTATTTGAAGAACTGATAAAAATGTTCTATTTCTTCTGTCTCTATTGTTCCTCTCCTGCTTTCTAATTTTGTATATCTATGCCTTCTTTGCATCTATCTTGATTTGGTTAGTAGCTGCTATTTTATTGACTTATCCAAAGATCAGCTCACAGATTCCTGCAATTCTTCTTTCTGTTTCCAAATTAATTATTAACTTTCAACTTAAAAACATTTACAGAAGAGAGTCACAGTACAGAGAAAGAACAAACCAGTACAGCCCTGCTCACTATCAACAGATGGCATTACAGATAAGGTGTGACCATCTCAGTTCTCTACTAACCCACAAGTTGAGGGATGCTTCAAGCAACATCATGGCTGAAAATAATTTATAGAAGAAGGCTAAAATATATATAAACATCTTTGTTAAAATGTTTTAAAGAGTTGAAAATAAGCAAACTCAACCAATGTCATTACCATTTACAACTTCTATCTTGAAACAAGTTACACAGATGTGAACAATCAGGATATGTGTATGGTGTTAGTCTGGTCTTCAATCTGTTTTTGTTAAGCCTCTTGGGACTTACCATTCTTGCTAATAAAGAAATTCCTGCTGGGCACCTGTGGCTCACACCTGTAATCCTAGCTACTCAGGAAGCAGAGATCAGGAGGATCGAGGTTCAAAGCCAGCCCAGACCCTATCTCAAAAAAAACCTATCACCAAAAAAGGGCTGGTGGAGTGGCTCAAGGTGTAGGCTCTGAGTTCAAACCCTAGTACCACAAAAAATAAATAAATAAAAATAAAGGAATTCCTGAAAGCTAATCGTAAGTAACACATAAAGCTCTTGAAACAATAAGTATTTATAAAAGGTTCTTGAGACAAATCACTGGAGTTTCTCTCTTATGGAAAAGATGAAAGAGTGGGATAGCTTGATCAAAATTTCCAGTTAATAAAGAACAGCCACACAATCAATTTTTTAATCCCACAGTTAAATGCACTCCTCACAAAATATACCTAATAAAATATAAAATTTCCTTGAAAATAACATTGTTGTCCAGTCACTATCACAAACAATAAAATTCTGACGTTCTGGTGTATTTGGAGATTAATCATTTTCAAGGAAGAAACACAGATATGGTTCTTTTTACCATACCTTGATCAATTTCACTTAGCGGCTGATTCAAAAGAGAATTAGAAGAATCTTTCAGATCTGCACAATCATATTCTTCTACAGGTTTGTCACGTCGTGAGTAAATAAACTGAGCAGCTAGAATAGAAAATGAAGAATGTTTAATACAGACATTTGCTATTAACTTTTTCTTACAAAAGTTAAAGTAAAAAGTAAAGATTCTGATCTACCACTTAAAACCAGTTATCCACATTCCATAATGGGTAAGAGGAGAAATACGCTAAGATAAAACATATCCTCCCAAACCATCCACTGAACCTACTTTCTAAGGTTTTCAAAAACTGCTTTTCCCAATATCTTATCCTTGCCTACTATTCCTAAAATTTTCTCATTCTTGGTACAAATACTTTAAACCACATATCAAATTTATTTGCTTAATTAAGAAAACACTCAAACCAGGCATGGTGGCTCAAGCCTGTAATCCTAGCTATTCAAGAGGTGGAGATGTACTGCTTATACTCTCTCTTCAACAAAATTAGAGATAAGGGCAGAATAGTTTCTGCCGGGTAGCGAGGGGTAAACGGGAGTAAGGGAGGGAGTGGGTGTGTGTGTGTGTGTGTGTGTGTGTGTGTGTGTGTGTGTGTGTGTGTGTGTGTGTGTAAGGGGGGGGGAGAAATGACCCAAATCATGTGTGTGTGTGTGTGTGTGTGTGTGTAAGGGGGGGGGGGAGAAATGACCCAAACATTGTATGCACATATGAATAAAATAAAAATTAAAAAAAAAAAAGGTGGAGATGTGAATATCACAGAAGGAGGCCGGACAGGAAAAGTACACAGGACCCCATCTCAACCAATAAAACACTGGTTATGGTGACATGTGCCTGTCATCTCAACTACATGGGGGAATGTAAATTGGAGGATCATTGTCCAGGCTGACCTGGGCATACAGACCTATGTCAAAAAATAACCAAAGCAAAAGGAATAGAGGGCATACTGCCTAACAACCACAAAGCCCTGAGAGTTCAACCCCCAATACTATCAAAAAGAAAAAAGAAAAGCACTCAAAATTGCATAATTAAGAAATCACAGTTTAAAGCTGCAAGTGGTAATGCACATCTATAACCCCAGAACTCAGAAGGCTAAGAGAGAAGGACTGATAGTTCAAAAGAGTTCTAAGCCAGCTTAGGTTACATAGTAAGACCCTGTCTCAAAAAGCCAAACAAGCACCGGGTGTAGGTGACTCATGCCTGTAATCCTAGCTACTCATGAGGCAGAAATCAGAAGGATCATGGTTCAAAGCCAGCCCAGACAAATAGTTTGAGTCCCTATTTCGAAAAACTCAATATAAAAAAAACAGGACTGGTAGAGTGGCTCAAGTGGTACACTGCCTGCCTAGCAAGCCTAACAACCATGAGGCAATGAGTTCAAGACCCTGTACCACCAAAAAATAAAAAATTTAAAAAGCCAAACAAGGAAAAAAAAAAGAGAGAGAGAGAGAGAGAAAGGAAGAAAAACAAAGAAAATAAACACCAGGTTAATTTTCACTTCCCAAGAATTACTAACTTTGCTAAAATCCAAAAGCTTACCAAAAACGGCCTTACATTTTGAACAACTCATCTTCCAATCATAGTGACACTGTAAACCAGTGACATATATCAAACTTTAGTTTTCAGACATCTGTGTCTTTCTCCACAATAGCAGTAGTATCATCACTTGATGTATAACTGAGTAGCACATATCTCATTAAAGGAAGAAAGTCTTAAAATGCCAATATATGCCTGGGAGCAAAGGAGAAAACTGCCCCTAAGTATGGACACTTCTACCTCAAACAGATGCCCAATGAACTCATTCTTGATTACTATGATCAATTGAGAAGGTATAAAATTAAAGAACATGTTAAGAAGGACAGAAATATAAAGACAGTATTCAAAAGGCAATGTATCATCAGGGCTTTTATATTATTTACCTTTCTGTAAAAACATGTAACATATTAAGCCCACTGCATAGAGTTCTTTCATTTGACTTCTATATGTGTTTTCAGGAAGGCACTATTTATGAAAGAGAAACTACCTCCAAAATTTATAAATAATGCACACAATATAAAAGTGTGGCCTATTTATAATACCTACAAATCAAAGGCCATAAGCCAATTGCCTTATAGATTAGTAAGGAAAAAAAGAAGAAAAGTGTAATACCATATTTTAAAAATCAAATGAGTAACACAGATAACAAATTCTACAAAAGCACAAAAAATTAACCCCTGAAGACTGGAGTGGTCATAATACACGAGGTAAGAACAAAGGAAAAACTGAGGGAAAGGTAGAAGAGATCTTAGACAAGAACAGAAAGCAATATATAGAGAGCAGTTGAGAATTCAATCTATTCTACTATAACATGCTTCCTTACCAGAAATTAGCTCATCCTAATTGGTAACTAAGGGTGTGAGGAGGTTGTAACATTAAAGATGCTTTAACTTAGGAAACTTTCACCCAACATTTCAATGTTTTTATCACCACATAATAGTAGCAGGTGGAAGTCCAATTAACACCAACCAAAAAGGAATGTTGTTTTTTGAGGGGTTTTTTGTTTGTTTTGGTTTTTTTGCGGGGGATGGAGGGAGTGGAATTAAGGTTTGATCTCAGGGCTTCATGCAGCAATGCAAGCACTCTATCACTTGAGCCACACCTTCAGTCCTCCAGTCCATTTGCTCTGGTTATTTTTAGAGATGGGATCTCACAAACTATTCACCCAGGCTGGCCTCCTAATCTCAGCCTGCCAAGTAGCTTGGATTACAAGCATGAGCCACCACCATCCAGCTCCAAAAAGGAATATTCTACTGCACCTGTAATTGTATTACACAATGCCACATAGTCCCAAATTCTCCCTCTTGAGTCGATTTATCCATAAGCTCTATTTGGGAGTCCCTACTGCTAGGCAATCCAAGATCTTTGAGCATTTATTGTCTCTGCAAATTACTCATAAGTTTCAACCCTTTCCTAAATCTCAATCAAAAAAGGTGAAAACCTTTTGTAAAATTTAAGTCCCACATCTATATCTTTTGAAATGTGCAAACATTTTATTAAGATGATTAATGCTTTTGTTAACATTCTACAAGTTGAGTGATCTGTCCTAATCCTACTTTTTCCCTAAGTTATTTTTAGAATTTAATTTTGAAGATCACACAGTATTTCAGGAATGTACATATTACACTGTGTATAACTCACTCTCGTTTTCCCCCTACTATGCAAGGCGATAACATTTGTATTATAGTTTAGCATGGCTAAATAGAAGAAACACTCATTTCATAAACTCTCTAACATCACTTTTTTCAGTTTAGACAAAGAAAGACATGTCTTCTATTAGAGACTGAAGGACACCTTAGCATTACATAATACTTAGATTGACAGTCTTTTATTTTAAAGTGGCTGGTAAAGTAATAATACGACTTAAAATCCATGACATCTTAGACTTAACATAATGTCAGCAATGCTAGAAAATGTACACAGAACCATTTTGTGCCTGGAGCTTTACAAAAAACTTTCCTGGCTTTAGTAAATTGTGTTCAATTTGGACTAAATTAACAAATGTACTTCGTCCAACTATCTCTCACACCATACCTCTAACTGGAAGAAAATCGTTAAACACAAAACATTAAGTAAGACAAGAAATCAGATGCTTCCCTCAACAAGTTCCACTTAGGAAATATTGATAGGGAACAGAAAGCTCTCAATGTAAAAATGTCTCTACCTCCTACAAGCTATTTTTCCCCCAGGGGCAGCAGCAGGGAAATGAGGGGTGAGGGGTGGGTACTTGAATACAGCAACACTTACCCATATATATAAATTCAACTCACAAACCCACACTATGACCATTGTTTAGGAAGTAGCAATGATTGGATTTGCCAGGGAAGGAGACAGAATAGGATAAATTCCCCAGGAAAATATAGCCAAAAAGCAGTCCAAACCTTTGAAGTTGAAATGAAAGTCAAAAAGGCAACAAATACAAAAGTGCAGAGAAAAGCAATGGTGAGCAAACAATAAACATAAAATGTTACACTTCTCTGAAATTTTAAATCACAAACTTTGATGTGCCTTCTGTAAAAACAGATACCCATAGTGATTTTTTTTTAAATTTAAGACCTTTTGACAACATAAAAGTTCAAAGCATTTAAGTCCTGAAACTACCTAAAATCATTTCCTAATCACCTAATCACTCATTAAAGCTGTAGTTCTCACTGGGCCTGGCTCAGATTTGTAATCCAAGCTACTTGGGAGGCAGAGATGAGGAGGATGGCTGTTCTATTCAGCTAGCCCCCACAGGGAGTTCACAAGATCCCATCTTAACCAATAGGTGGGTGCAGAGATGTGCACCTAATACTCCAAGCTACAAAGGAGGCTGAGCTCCAGACCAGACTGAGCAATAAAAAGACCCCAGCTCGTTCATCTGTCCACCACTATCAGTTAACACTCTTAAAAACCTCCAGTAAGTGGAAACTACAGACACAAAATGAGAGAAACACCTTCTACAATCTGGCTCCTATTTTCTTTCCTAGCTCTCTTTCCTGCTGTGATTTTCATGAATCCTGAGTCTCCAGAAACAACCCTCACTCAGACTCCATGGCTAAAGCAATGCTGTTTCCTCTACTTAGCATGCCACTCTCACACCAAATTTACCAGCCCTGATCCCACCACCTGGCAGAACCTTCCCAGAATTCTGCAGGCAGGATTATGTTCTCTACCTAGCAGACTGTACAAGCAAGCTGCTTAAACAGGCCCTTAAGTGACTGCTTTGAACAAAACTAATTCGTGAACTTATTAGAATAGTTTTTCTTACATATAAATTGATGCCCAATTAAAGGTTTAGAAGTAGAATGGGCCCCTAAAGATTACAGTATCCAACACATGAGCTGAAATGAAATATATACTATTAAAATATAGCTTTATACATGTCTTTTGCTATCCCCTCTCTTTGACACATACTCAATACTCAGCATCAAAATCAATCTTTCTAATGAAAATTTTAAAAACTACAATTAAAAATCACCTTTTCATCAAGACAATTATGTTTAGAATTCAAAACAAAAAATGTGGCAGTAAATTTTAGAAAGAATTTCCTACTGAATTTACCAGAGTTCTTTAGTCCAGGAGTATGCTCATTATTCTTTGTTAATGTTTTGTTACTTTGAAATTAATCTAGAAACAGAAAGCATCTTGGAGGGGGAGAAGAAAAACACAAAATATGTAGGCAAATTTTGACTTCATGAAACTTCTCAAACCTTCACTTGTTCATTAATCCCCAAAATGAAAAACACTTCCAAATGACACCATTACAAAGAAGCCAATGAATTCTATTACAGAAAATCCTGCTGCCTCTTTAAGAACAGGAAGTATTCTAAAACTACGCATTTTTCATTGGAAATTACTTGAAAATATACCACACTAAAGAGAGAAGCTACGATTCTGATCTGATGTTAATGCTATTTTGTAAATGTTCTGATTTTCTGGGTTTAGTTTTTGTTTTATTCCTGTGGTGCTGGGGATCAAACTCAGCACATAATCCAAATTCACGCCTCTACTAAAAATACCACTTTGTCAAAGTAGAAAGTCAAAACCATTTAACTATCTCCTGCTTTGATAATGTCAGCTGAACTTTTTTTTTTTTTTTTTAGATATTGGGGATTGAACCTAAGGCCTCAAGGCATGCAAGTGTTCTACCTCAAGCCATGCCCACAGTCCTTTGGTTTTGGTATTTCGTTTCTGAGACAGTGTTTCACCAATTTTGCCAAACTTCAAACACTCAATCCTCCTGTCTCCACCTTCACCTGGGATTATAAAACTGCCCCACCATGCCCAGCTTCAGTTGATTTCTTGATATGTGAGAAGTAACTCTCATAGTCAGACTGTGCAGAATACAAACATGTGCATGAGGCACATGAAGAGCTATGAGTCACACATGCTTCCTGCTGCTTGCCATGTTATGCCCTGAACCACCTCAGTACTCTGCCAGCAAAAATGTCATCACCAGATGCAGCCTTTTGACAGTGGACCAGAACCATGAGCCACAATAAGTCTCTTCATTAACTCTAAAAAAAAAAAAAAAACTATGACAGAAGAATAAACTGATGCCATCTTCACAAAGCTAAGCCACAAAGGTGAATCTTAAAAAAAATCACCTTCTGAAAGTCTGACCTTTGTACTATTAGCTCATTACTCAAGATTAAATGTTATTTCTCCAGGTAAGCCTATATCAATGACTGTGCTAACTTGAAATAGTAAGCTGTCTTTCAGTACTCACTCTATGAATGGTTCCACTCCTATACAGCCATATTCTACTAACTTCCAAGGCCTGTAGATCTCAACTCTTGTTAATCTCCTGAATCTGTGTTGAAATCTAAATGCTACTCTTGTCCTAAACAAATAGCTCCCAATATAAACCATAAACACAATCTAGTAGGCCTGTTAAAAACTCACTCTGAGTTTCTGAGTCTTGGATGGGGCCCCCAAACTGCACTTCTTTTTTTTTTTTTTTTTAAAGGAAAGAAAAAATTTTAATCAAAAATTTCTGAAAATTTTGGGAAAATGGATGTCAGTCATTTCAGCACATATTTGAGGTACTGACATGAGTTTTAGGTTTATATACAGGCAGAATTGTGGTAGGGAGCAAGAAGTAGGCATAATTAAGCAATCTTAGTCATAGTGTACTCCCATTCATTTTTATCTCAGTTCTGGTTCTACAGGAAGACTCTGCAGAAATCATTATCACTTGATGGGACAATCTTGTTCCTCTGAGATTATTATGGGATGACCTCATCTTAGAGTGATCTGTCTGTGACTTTGCTTTTCTGGGAGTCCAAGATGAGTACAGACTTTCAGGTACTTCTTAAGAGTTCTGGAATAGGGCATTAAAAACACTGATGGAAGAATGTTTAATTTCTCTTACCTTTGTGCCTTCATCTGAGAAGGGGTATGAGGTTGGTTAAGTATCATCAGTTTTTAGACAGACAGGCCTTGAATGATCTACATGCCTAGAGTTAAGCAGGAGTCTGACCCAAAGTTCTAACAAAAGGAGACAGATGTAAACTGAAGGCAGGATACCATACTTTTTTTCTTGCTTACTTTGTGGTACCAGGTGAAGAGTCAGTGTTTTTTTTTCTTTTTTTTTTTTCATTTTTCTTTTATTATTCATATGTGCATACAAGGCTTGGTTCATTTCTCCCCCCTGCCCCCACCCCCTCCCTTACCACCCACTCCACCCCCTCCCGCTCCCCCCCCACAATACCCAGCAGAAACTATTTTGCCCTTATCTCTAATTTTGTTGTAGAGAGAGTATAAGCAATAAAAACTGCACTTCTAACAAACTCTCAAGTGATGCTGATGGTGTAGGAACATTTGAGAACATTATCCTAAATATCCTCATCTCTAGATTAGTGTAATAGTCTCCTGAACAAGTCTACCTGCATCCATCCTTGTATCCCTTCAACCCACTATTTGCCACGCAGAAGAGATGTTTCTAAAAACTTGATGCTAACATTACACCCGCAGCATCTTAGTTACGTGACCAACTATGCTCTCTATGCACTAAGAATGTGAGTGATGAGGACAGTGCTACCAAGCAGCAGTTTGTTACCTTTACTAAAACTTTACTTAGCTAGTTATATGTGATACTGAACTGCAGGACCCCAAAAGGGCAAGTGCATGGGGGTTCATGGAAAAAAGTAAAACTTCCTTTATCACTAGATGCCTGTAAAAATGTCTTCCTCTAAATCACTCAATAAAGAGCTCTAGGAATACTAGTTATTAAGCTATCTCTCTTCTTGTAACCCACCATTTACTCAGCTTTGTGATGCTGGGCTTAAAGTCTCTGCAAACCACATTTCTTTCTTGAAAGCTGGCTCCCTTTTAGGATGAGCCAATAAGAAGATGGTTACAGGAGACTAGAAGGCTGCAGGAGGAGGGCACATGCTCTTTCCTTTTTGTTCTCATGCAGAAGCAGCATGTTCTAGTAAACAGCAATTAATATCAGTTTTCAGTTTTCCCCAAATCCCCAGGACCAGCATCAACTTGCCCCCTTCACTCCCCAGCTACCACACCCAGGCAATAGGGTGGAATCCCCTCTTCAAAAGGCTAAATCCCAGCTTCAAAGGCACCAGCATTAGCAAGGCAGTGTCTCTTTCCCCAAAGGTCAGAGTTCCAGCTACACAGTCCCTCCTGCAACAAAGCAGAACCCTCTCCTTCTGGTCTAAGTCCCAGCTCTAAGGAGTCTCACAAGCTTCTAAAAAGTCAGTTTCAGCCTCATCAAATTGTTCCCCTAAGAGCAATTGTAACAATGGTAACTGCTTCCTGAAATTACTACCTTCATGACATTTTGGGTTTCATTTCTGCACTTTTTTTTTTTGGACTGAAATACTTTAACAATTTTTTTATTAAATTTCCTCTGGCAAAGTAACTGATACAATTTTTATCTAACAGAATCTAAGGAAGAGAGGAAAGTACATGGTTAGGTTAAATGTAGAAGTATCTGATCTGAAAAGCAGGCCCACAAATAAAGAGCCAGATGTATTTGAGAGTAACAAGTAACAGGAAAAAGATGACAGGAAGAGTAGAAGTGTTCAAGACAAGTTATAGAGCACATAGGCCTTTTTAAAGAAAAAGGAATGTGTTTGGTCTTCAAAAACTAAAAATGGGATTAAAGCAGTTGGTTTACAGAACAGATCAGCAGACTACAGGATAATTAAGACAAAGAGAATGTCTTAGACTGCTTTGGCTGCTGTAACAAAATACAATATAAACTGCATAGCTTACAAACAGAAACTTATTTCTCACAGTTCTGAAGGCTGGGAAGTCCAAGATCAGGGCAGGTTCTGGCTCAGAGACAGTGTCTACTTGCTGTGTCCTCAAATGGCAGAAGGGCAAAGAAGGGGTCTCTATGACTGTTGTTGTTTTTTTTTAGGATACTAATCCTATTCAGAGGCAGTGTGTCCTCATGACCTAATCACTTCCCAAATGTCCCACCTATAAAAACCATCCCACCTTGGGAATTAGGATTTCAACATATTAATTTTGGGGAGACACAAACATTAAGGTTGTAACAGAGAGCTTTGAAAAGTAATGTTAGCCTTGTGAAAGATGAGTTTTATGAGTTCTACGCATGGCTACACCTAACCACAGGTAAACTGTACCCCCTTTTAATACTACATTAAAATTATATGGGAATTCCTAGGGCATTTTCACCCATTGTGACATGTATATTTGAAGACAAATGCATTGTTAGAGAAATGTATGAAAGAAAGGTAAAAAGCTCAATATTTACTGGAAAGACAGAGCTTTCCTCAAACAAATCTTTCAACAGTGAGACAGAAATGTAGCTAACGTAGAATCATAAGGGAATGTGCACTCTAAGTCTGCATATAGCTCTATCAGAAGTCTGAGCTACACATATTTGTTTGATTTACCAAACCATTTAACAGCAGATAAAGGACAAAGTATTACACTGCACCTTATAACTATGTACAATTATTATAGGCCAATTTAAAAAAACCTAAAGCACCTAAAAAGTCCATAAAAAGGTAGAAGTCTATGCCTAATGCCTCGCTGCTTCTACCACACAAAATATTCTTGCAAAATAAAATTAACTGCTCTCTACTTCCAGAGGTTTTAGAATCTCATTATTGACTGAATCACTATTTTATTCCATCTATTTGTATGGTAAAAAAATTTGAAGAACCAGTCTTCAGAGGTTTCCTCATATTGCTTAAAATGAAAGGATAAAATCAAAACTTTCAATACTAGTCATAGGCAAAGAAATTGTATACATCTTTAAAATTCAGCATTTATGTACCTTTTTAAATGTAACATTTTATAGTCTTATGATACACTCTGGTCCTAGAATAACAACAGTACTTACGTGACCTTTTTAAACACCCAAATCAAGGAACTAAAATTACTTTTAAAAATTCACCTGTTGATGGCGAAATACAGTAATCATCCTCTACAGATTGGCCATAGAGATCATCATCTTCAAAATCTAAAATAAAACAAATGAGATTAGATCATTTAGAAGTTCTTGTCATATTCTTCCTGACTAATGAGGAAGTATCCACATTCTCTCAAAAATAAGTGGCCAAAAATAAAGGAACAGGCAATGCCTACTTCTCCATATATTCCAAGAATTTTACCCATCAAGAAGGTATTTACTGACATTCTAAAGACACTTTAAAAGACATACATGAGTCTGCTTTGCTAATTAAGTCAGTTAAGCTGATTGGTTTTTATTCAATTTTCCCAAGTTTCACCTCAAAAACTACTTATTATTCCATAAGCTATATACTTGAATTGTCTCCAATGTTGACAAAACCTCAAATAAGCCATTCGTTCATTTTTTTCACCAAGTGCTCTGTATAACCAAAGGCCTTTCCACAGAACTGACTAGCATGAGTATACAATCAGATCACAAAAGTAGTTCTTCTTCATCCAGAGCTAGGTAACCTCTACATGAACCAGTTTGTCCCAGTCCCCTTGTGCTCACTTCATTGACAGCTAATTGGTCTTTTCTCCTACACAATGGAATATGGTTTTTGCCCAGATTTTTCCTAAACTTGTTTCATTCTCCTAGTTGAAGTTCCAACTTAAATGTCACCTGTTTGCAGAATCTTCCCTACAAACTCAGGTAGTGTAGCAAGCCTCCTTGCTGCCTTTCCCTCCCAGCCTTCTCGTCCAATTTATTGTTCGAAAATCACCACACCTGTTGCACTTCATGGGCCCATCAGCTCCTTTAGGGCAAGACTTGGTTTAGCCAAGTACCTAGCACACATCTGGCAAAAACTAGTATTTGTTTTTATTATAAGTTAATGAATCAAACTATCTAAAACTAAAAACCCATCAGGAATATAATATATTTACATGAATGTATTCACTCACTGATTCGATAAATACTAACACTGTTTCAGGGATTACTAGAGACACTTGTGGTACAATAGCGAACAAGGAGTGGGAGGCTGAGGAAAAATCCCCTGGAATGTAACATCCAAACCAATTCCAAAAGATAGAGCTAGACAATTTTGGGGGGTATTGATGCAGCAAAACAACATACTCAAAGGCTGAAAGCAAATATTATGGTAGAGAAAAATCACATGAATGCTACCACTGCATAAATGGTGTAACATTCAATAAATTATAAGATTACAAACCCAAATTAATAACCTATTGGCAAATAAAGGGCCACTCACAAACAAAATATAAATACATATATAGATAAGAAAACAATCTTTCCTACTAGATCGGTTTGTGAATACTGAAATTGATTCTAAATTGCTACAATACAAAAAGATGAAGAAAACTCTTTCCCAAAATCTTTGTAAAGTGGGTCACTCCTTCAACAACATTTAGGGTATTTACTACATGTACGGCATTATGCCAGCTACTGGACTAAATATAAAACTGAAGCAGGACTTTTAAACTAGTAGATGAGACAGTCATGTAAAGTACTGTCCACATTACAGAGAAACACAAAGTGGGAATTAAAAAAGAGTTACCAATATCAGACCACAAAGACTCTAATGAGATTACTTTTGTGAATTTTTAAACTATATTCTGAGAATCCAAAGGAAAACTTAACCAGGAAGAAGAAAAATAAACTGGACACTGAAGATGAGTAAATTTTTAGAAGCAGAAGGGGATGAACCTCCTAGGCTACAGGAACAGCTTGGTTATGATGTCACCAATTGTTCCAAAGAAACAAGACAACCTGACCTCAGGTGGCCAAGGTTAGAAGATATTTAACACAGACTGCCTGAGGCCTAGAAGCTCTTCTACAGGAAACCTGCACACAGAATCCTGTTTACAGGCCCCCACAACTCAACTGATTTGATGTTCTCTCTTGTGTAGCCTCCTTACCACTCTGTCATTACTTTCTGTAGTATTTCTTACTCTAATCATGTTACTTTTACCATCTCTAATGTCTTAATGTCAACCTTAGAACAGTACTCTAAGCACTCAATTACCATTGGTTGAGGAAATAATAAATTACTATTAAAAAATCTCTCCCAGTCTAAAGTCATTTCTCTGGGCTGGCAGAGTGGCTCAAGTAGTAGAGCACCTTAGGCCCCAAGTTCAAAACCCCTGTACCATCCAAAAAAAAAAAGAAAGTCACTTCTCAGATGACAGTAAGTCCACATGACAACATATACAACCGCTGCAATACTTAAAAGAGGTTCCATTCTAAGTGGACACCAGAAAATTAACACACGCCAGGCAGACTGGGTTATAACCTCCAAAGGGAGCCCAGGGTGTAGCCGTCCTCCCCTGTATATTAATGTTACAGAAAAACCTATCAGGTGCCAAAATCACCACGAATATATTAAGCACTACATGCTCTGCACTTTGCAAAGCAATAAGTCTTGAATCTATTCCTCTTCTGCATTAATTCATACTTGTTTATAGTGCTAGTTTGTATGACGCTCAGTGATGCCTATCATTACCCATTGCATGAAGTGTTCCTCCTAAAAAATACTTTTAATTTCTTTTAAACTCCTAGAGAACATTTATACATACGTTTTCTTTGCTTTTATTTTTTAAATTAATTCCTTTTCAGTGCTCTTTCCTTTCGTACTTTTTATTTCCATTTCCAACACATTTATATTGAGCCCCATCAGCCAGGAACTTAAATATACACCTCGATTATCTGACTTTTTCTTTGTACCTTTTTGATATGAACCTTTTCTACTGTCTCCTACTTTCCCAATTTGAGACCTCATTGAAAAGTAAGTCAGCTCAAGCTAGGTTCTGCACTAAGAACGTATGAACACACAAAAGATTTGCCATGTCAATCTAACAGTTACAACAGGTCAGCTGAACATAAGCACTGAATCAAGCCGTGTTTAACAAATTAGCAATGTTTCATTGACAGTTTTGGAAAGAGGTTCGGGGTGGGGCGGGGGGGAGAGAAATCAGAGCAGGCACGTAAATGCGGAAATGGGAAGAAACAAAGGGACAGGGGATAACGCAAGGTGCCTAGTAACACCGGGTCCCCACCTCGCCAAACCTTCCCATCTGATGCTGTGCGGCACCTCCCCTCCCTAAATAAGATCAATTCCGGGTGGCAGAAATCACGACCTAATTCCATTCACTCGCACTCGGGTGTCCTATGATTTTCCCCAATTGCCCTCCACACATTCAATGTTAGCCCGGCGCCACCGTCTGAGAACTGAGATCGAAATGGATACCAACGGTCTGGGATCCCAGCTGGAACAGCGAAGATGATGTCCCGGCCTAACCCTGCACCTACCTTCATCATAGTTATAGCCTCGGACATTCCGATGCCGGGCCATGGCGGCAGAGAGGGCGTATGCTACAGCCCCCTTCCAAAACACCCGGCTCAGATAGTGGTAAAGCACCGACTGCGGCCTGGAGACCACTTAGGCGCCATCTTGGCTTCCGGCAGGCCTCCGTGCCGAGAACATGCGCATGCGCGACGTCGTACCAGGGTCTGCGCGACGGCAGCCGCTCAGGGTCACAGCGCTCCCTGGGGCCGCATGCGCACTCACGCGCTTGGGGGAGGGGAGGGCGTTTTGGCGTGGCCCCGCCCAGGGGCAGGTCGACTAACGTAGAATTGTAAACCCGGAAATTCCGCTACCTCCAATTGATTGGTTGGGAATAAATATGGTGAATGAGGCTCTTTCCCCAAGAGTCCAGATTTTCCAGATTTGGTTTCTGGTCATCTCCTGGAAAAACCGTGATCAATAAGAACTGTTGGGGTTTTTTTGAGACCTAGTTCGGGACACAGTTGACAAACTTCTATCAATGAAGTGTAAAAATTAGTTCAGCCTTTAAAGGGGGAAATCAAGTCTATTTTTAAACAAGCATATATGGTTAAATTTAGAATTTGGCTACAATGACTGACCATGCTTTCCAGTAATTCTGGCTTCAGGCATTGACTCTCTCGGGCATTAATATCTTGATATCTACACAGCTATCTGACCTTAGCTGTGTAGACAATCAGCATCATAAATATTCCATAAACGTTCCTCAAACACATAAATGCATAACACGCTGAGGGGAACGAAGGTTTTTAGACAGCATCAGCCTTATGTGTTAATGACGAATGTTGTGGATACATAAACCCATAACCTACTATTAAATGGCCTCTTGGAACATACTGCTGATGCTATGTAAAACAGGAACCTCATTGTTACACTGAACCAACTGCTGCTTTGTTGCAGCTTGTTTTTAAAATGGTGATACTTCGTATCAAAGGCAAATGTCAAATTCTAGAAACAAATTAGCTTTTTGTTATCCACAAGAGAGAGAAAGAATGAGTAATACAAATTTAATTCATATTGTAAGTGACTTGGAGTGCATTTGTATATGCATGGTTACCAAAAAATTGTTCTTAGCTATCATTGCTGTTTAACATCATCCCAAGACAAATTTTATGCAAGCATAATGATGTTTGCTAATTTCATATGACTTTTAAGTGTTATTTTAAGCATTTAAATAATATTTATGGTGCAGCTTGGCCCTTTGTAAATAGAGATAATAATATTATCTAACTCATAGAGTTGTGAATAGTAATTTATCCATGGAAGAGGATTTAGCACAGGACATAAAAGTTACGAATATTTTTAAATGTTATTAAAATATAAATAAAATATAATTGGCAGTTTCCATTCCACTGTAATTGTCAATGCTGGTTTAAATACAACTCACTGAGGTGACTCAAGAAGGAAGCAAGTTATGAATTGACCACATGAGTAGTACTGAAAAACTGGACACAGTGGCTCACTCCTTTAATCACTCCCTACTCAGGAAGCAGAAATGGGAAGGATCTAGGTTGGAGAAAAGCCCAGGCAAAAAGTTAGCAATTTGACTAGATCCATAGCAATAATTGGATTTGTGGCCTAACCCTTCAGCAAACACTAGAATACTGCAAACTTCAGTCTAGTAAGAATAAAAGTCCTTTAACAAGAATTGGGAGACAAGAAGTGACATTCACTCTAACTTCCAGGTCTCAACCAATAAAAGCTGGTTGTGGTGGCAACTGCCTGTAATCCTAGCTACTTGAGAAGCAAAGGTCAGGAGGACCCAATCAGAAAAATAGCTAAAGCAAAAAGGCTGGGGACATTGCTCAAGTAGGAGAGCACCTGCTGAAACAAGTTCAAGTCCCTGAGTTTAAGTCCTAGTAATTCCAAACAATAAAAAAAAATCATAGTAATGGAGCTGTGAATAAGAAAACAATATTTCTGCCTAGGAGGTAGTAAGTAATTTGCATCTGTGTCATCAATAATGTATTCCCATAAAATTCTAAATACTTGAGGAGAGACTCCAATGAATCCCAAATTGTAGTAGCAATCTGCACAAACTTCTACAGAAAGTATTCGGCATTTTTCTGGTGTCCCAGAGTGCTTTAGGTGTGATTATGGTTTAATTGAAAGTACTATGACATTAACGTCGTACAAACCTGGATTTCGATCCTAGTTTGGCTGTTTTCTGTTTGTTAACTACTTTGGGTTTAATCTCTTCATCTGTTTTTACAGATTTTTACATATGAACATCTATGATTTCTATTTTGTGCAAAGTAAGTGAAGTGATATGTGTGAAAACATAGCTGTTACAAAATAGGTATCCAATAATGCTATTTTTCTACTTCATTAAATCTTTATCTCTCTGACACCCTAATATCTGGCACTGTGAATATTTATTGGATAAATTAATTGATGAAAGAAGAAAAATATAATGGCATGTCTCTTCCAATGGGAAAGTTAACAAATATCATAAATACTATATAAATAATTCATTTTTATATTGGTTTATGAAAAATATAAATGAAACTAGCAAATTATTACGGAAAAAATTTGATAGTTTTACTGAGGTATCATTGAAAACACTAAACTATACATATTTAAAGTGTACAACCTGGTATATTTAGACATACATATACACCAGCAAAACAATCAACCCAATCAAGACAATGAACATATCCAGACTCTCACGTTTCCTCAAATACTTTTTTTATCCAGAATACATAAATCACAAAATATCCAAGGATCCTTTCTGCCCTTACTACCTCCTCTCCAAGGCCCTCATCACTGCAGATTTCTTTTCATTTTCTATAATTTCGTGTAGCTAAAATCATGTAATATGTGTTCCTTTTTTATCTATCTTCACCTACTTGGCAAAATTAGAGTTTCAACCATATCACTATTTGAATCAATAGTTTATTCCCTTTTACTGCAGAGGGAACTCCAATATGTATTGATATATTTTTTCCAATTTTGGCTACTGCAAATAAAACTAATATGAATATCCATGTACAAATATTTGTATGTATATATACTTTTATTTTTGCCTAGGTGGAGAATGGCTGAATGAGATGATAGATCATCTTTTAGTTTGTTTTTTTTTTAAGAACATGCCAGAGGTGAGAATGTAGCATGATGGCAGATCACTTGTTTAACAAGCTTGACTCCCTAGGTTTGACCCCAATCACAGAAAGAGAAAGAGAGAGAGTGAACCAAACTGCTCCCTAAAATGATTGTAACACTATACATTCCCATAAGCAATATAGTTCCGTGTCCTCCACATTCTTCCAACACTTAATATGCTGTGAGATCACTGGACATTCCTGTAGCCTCTTTGCTAAAGTGTTTTTGAATCTTTGATTTTTAATGGAGTGGGTTTTTTCTCTTATTTTTGAATTTGCAGAATATTTTGATATTCTGAGTACAATTTCTTTATCTGCTATATTACTAGTAATATTTCTCCCAGTACTTTTCATTTTTTAACAGTGCCTTTGGAATAGAAGTTTTCATTTTGATGAAGTCCAATTTATCAGATTTTTTCTTAATAGATTGTGCTATTGATTTTGTATCTAAGAAATCTTCACCTGAGACAAGGTAACATAAGTTTTCTCACATTGTTTACTGGTTTTTGCAGTTTGAGGTTTTACATTTAAGTTTATGATACATTTTCACAGTTAAGTTTTGTATTGGGTGCAAGATTTGGATCAAAATTCATTTCTTGAATTATGGATGTTTAATTGTTCCAGCATCATTTGCTGAAAAAAAGTGTTGTTATCCGCTGAATAGCATATGCATCTTTATTAAAAATCATTTGTCCAGCATAGGTCTATTTCTGGATTCTCTGTACTGTTTCATTGATGCAGTGATCTGTTCACTTAGTTTAAGAACAGTTCCTTGCTGACATGTTTACTGTAGATTCATAAATCTTAAAACCAGGTACCATTAGTCTTCCAACTTTGTTCTACTTTTTCAAAGTTGTTTTAACTATTTTAGGTCCTTGACATTTACAAATGAATTTTAAAAGAAGGTTATTAATTACTGCAAGTCCTTCTTCTGGGAGTTTAGCTGGGAGATCCATAGATTTTGCTACATCTATAGATCAATATGGAGAAAACTGGCATTTTTAGCATTGAATCAACACATGCATACATATAGCTCTCCATTTATATAGGTCTTCTTTAATCTTCTCTCAATAATACTTTCTAACTTTTAGTGACTGTTTTTAGGCAACATTTGATTATTTAATTCTAAGTATTCCACATGTATCTTGGTGCAATTGTAAACAATGTTTTTAAATTTTTCAAGGTAGATATGCAATTAAACTATTAAAAATAATAAATTAACTAGAACTACCAATATACAAAAAATAAATACTTTGTATAATTCATAATTTATATACAACTATATATAATTGTATAATTTATAAATGATAGAATAAAACAGAAAAATAAAAATTAACTAGCTACATTGACATAAAAATGCCATCTTAGGATATCTAGTACAAATATAAGGAGCCCTAAACTAAAACTAGAAAACATTCCAGAGAGAAATACATTACACTAAATGAAGAGATATACCATGTCCATGAATTGAAACCCTAGGCACAGAATGGCTGGATCATAGGTTATCTTTTAGCTTTTAAGAAAATGCAAGGGCTGAGGATATAGGCTGGTGGCAGATGAATTCCTTAGCATGCATGAGGCCCTGGGTTTCATCCCAAGGACCTCAAAACAGGGCGAATGAGAGAGAAAGAGACAGAAACTGCCAAACTGTTAAGTGGAGGCTATGTCAATCCCCCTCACCACCACAATCAACAATTGAATGTTATCCCAATCAAAATTCAAGCAGTTTTTTTTGGTGGAAATAGGCAGTCAGATTCTGAAATTTAATAATTTAGATGCAACATTTCCAGGATAGCCAAGACAATCTGAAAAAAAGAATCAACGTGAATAATTTAGACTATTGCAGATATATAAACACAGCATGAGTCTCACAGACATAGTCTGAGCAAAAGGAGCCAGACCTAGAGTCTCCACTGTTTGGTTCCATCTAGA